TACTTAATTCCTGCCTTCTTCTGTAAGGTGCTTTACTTCTCCAAAAGAAATCCTTTTGTTTAAGTGTATTGTCCTTCTCCCCGCTCCTCCATGCTGGATACTTTTTTGTATCTTTGAGCAAAATCACCCGTCGCTTTAAATTTTTGCCTGGGGTTTGTTCACCCTGGCTCGGCATGTCATCACAGGCTTTTCAGTCATTCCCATAAAAAAGCTGTCTTGTCCTCTCTGTGAGGTGTCAAAAGGCAGAAAACGACAGAATGGCTGGGTAGAAGAGGAAAGGCAAGGCAGAAGCTGCCTCTGGGAGCTGGATGCTCCGCTGGGCACCCCCAGTTGTGAGCGATTAAAGGGGGCCAGCAGCCGGTGGGTTGAGCGGTGGTGGGAAGCTGTGCCTTGGTCCCGGCCTCCGGGGCCACATGAGCGAGCCGCCCTTGTCTCGGGGACAGCCCGCGTTCGTGGGTCGGCGCGGGTGGGAGGCCGGGTTGGAAGGACGGGTTTGCATCCCCCGTGGCTGTGGCCGGCAGCGCGCTGTGCCAGTGTCAGCTGCGCCATCGAAGCGAGATCTGTCGAAGCGCACCGCACACCTTTTCTTAAAAGGCAGCCACTGGGAACGTTCATTAAGGGCAGGGTTTTCTTCTGGGGGAGGCTGAAGGGGTGACAGACCTTCGTTAAAGCGCATGCGTCTGTTGGTTCCGGCTGTCCAGCGCGTGAAAGTGCACCTGCGCACAGAAAAGAGCAACACTCGGCTGCTGCGGCGTGCCAGCCTGCCCCGAGACCTTCCCGTCGGGGATCTGCCGAGAGCCAGGGGTGAGCACTGCAGAGATCTTGAGTTTTAAATTGCTACTTCCCCAAAACACGTGGTTACATGAATGTACGGAATAGGGGGGGTTTCCCAAGGTGTGTGGCACTGATGGGTGGGGTAACCAGGGCTGACGACAAACCCGGGGTCTTAAAAAAGAAAGCCTGAAAAGCGTTCAAGTACCGAATGTCGCAGAAATGTTTTTCAGCCTTGGAGAGAGCAATTTCTGCGTCTTCCCACAGAAAAGAATATTTCAGGATTCAGCCCTGATGTCCCTTGAAGTGAAAAGAAGCTTTTGTCTGGTGGCTGCAGGAATGTATGTCCTGGTATTGATTCAGACACGCTTCCTTATTACTTCTGCTTTTTTCTAGATTACGTGTGATTTAGATTATACATGAGGCTTTAGACTTCTATAATTTAGTTTTTTTCTCGTCATAGAATCATTTAGGTTGGAAAGGGCTCTTGAGGTTGCAGAGTCAAACCGTAAACCTAACACTGCCGAGTCCACCACTAAACCATGTCCCTAAGTGCCACATCTACACGTCTTTTAAACACCTCTGGGGATGGTGACCCTGCGATGTCCCCAGGCAGCCTGCCCCTGTGCTTGATAACCCTTTTGGTGAAGAAATTTTTCCTAATATCCAATCTAAACCTCCACTGGCGCAATACTACGGTCTGCAGGAGCATCCCACCATTTGGGTTTAACGTTGAAATCAACTGAAAAGTGCATAAACAGGTAAACACCTCAAACCAACCACTGAACCCCTGGAGTCTCTCCCTTGTCCTGCCTCTGCCAGGTGTGCATTTGTGGCTGTTACTCGAGCAGTGAGGAAATTCTACCAGCGAATATGCCATATTCATCTGTGGCCACAAACACCAGTGTGAAGCCAGCAGTGATGCTCTACACCCTCTTCCTTCCTGTAAAAATGCCTCCCTCCTTCACTGTAAACACAGATTTTCCTGAGCAGTAGCCTGGGCTAGGTAGCTGGCATCCCAACCCCTTAGAGCCAGGGGTCAAAGCAGAACTCGGAATAAATGTGACGTCTAGCTCTTCTGGTCTGAAGTCCCTGGTGATACATTTCCTCAGAGTGTGATGCTTGAGTTGGAGCAGATGGAGGTGGGCTAAACCTGTATGGGGGTGTGGGTTTACTGGAGAGAGTCCAGTGGAGGGCTATGAAGATGACCAGGGGACTGGAGCATCTCTCCTATGAGGAAAGGCTGAGGGAGCTGGGCTGGTTTAGCCTGAAGAAGAGAAGGCTGAGAAAGGATCTTATAAATATCTCAAGGGATGGGGCCAAGCTCTTTTCAGTGGTGCCCAGTGACAGGACAAGGGGTAATGGGCACAAACTGAGGCACAGGAAGTTCCGTCTGAACATGAGGAGGAACTTCTTCTCTCTGAGGGTGACGGAGCACTGGAACAGGCTGCCCAGGGAGGTTGTGGAGTCTCCTTCTCTGGAGATATTCAAGACCCGCCTGGACAAGGTCCTGTGCAGCCTGCTGTAGGTGACCCTGCTTTGGCAGGAGGGTTGGACTAGATGACCCACAGAGGTCCCTTCCAACCCCTACCATTCTGTGATTCAGTGAGTTGTCCTGGCATGTCAATGAATGTGTTCAGTTCCTGAGCTGCTGAAGTGAGCAACTTCCTCTGTTCTCCTAACACAGTTGTAGATTTAAGTTTCCCCAGGCCAGCAGTTTCCCCAGCCCTCTACCCATTGCCTGGTTCCCCTGGGGCTCTTGTCAAGTGGCTGGTACTAGAGACCGTGTTTCACTGTGCTTTGTGGTTAGCTGGTAAAAATGACAGGGAAAGACAAGTTTCTGCAAGACAGACTTAGAGTGCATTAAATAAATATAAATTTTATTAAAAACACCCACATCTCAGCGTTATCAGGAATGATATAATAATAAACAGCTTTCAAATAACCTGCATTACATTACAATACTTACAGTATTTATAACCATCCTCGGATTCTTTTTATAGACATACCAAACATTTCATGAAAATGAATGAAACTAAAGTAAAAAAAAAAAAAAAAAAATAGAACATAAGCATAGAAAATGCACACAGAAGTTCATTACCTTAGTGTCAAACTGCTAAAGTTTCCTACACAAGTTAACCACTAGCTTTAGAAGTGAACTTTATACCACTGTGCGTCAATCAAGATGAAAAATTCATTCAAGTAAAGTTGACACCACTCAGAAGCATCTTCAAGTATGGCTATAGTCAACCTGATAATCCTATACAAGCAATTTCATGTCTGCTTTGTCATTCGTTCCAACTGAGGCAGGGTTCTGTACACCAGAAATTACAGTTCGGGTATTTACAATACAAAACTGATTCACCAGCTAAGCTTCCTGCTCCTGCTGCCAGCAGTTTGGCAAATGACGGTGCACGGCGTATTAACCAAACATCTACTATGGATTACATGAATAATATAGGACTTAAAAACAAAAATCACCAAAAGATGAAGATTTATAATGATTTAATTAATCTGACATATAACCAGCATTAATCTATTTTTTTTTTTAAAAAAGGCGAAACTTTTGTTTCAATGCAGTGGGTAAAGTCACAGACTGAGAATTAAAAAACAAAATTGCCATAATAAATATCTGACCATTAAACCCAAAGGCCTCCTTTGATTTACTCAAGTTAGGTTGTGATTCTGTTAGATAAAATTTCTTTCCACCAAACTTAATCTTACAGTATATTGCACAAGATACATCTGGGACATGGAGGTTTGCATGTTTAGGGAAGCCCTTGTACAGACTGTACCTTTTTATATTTTATTTTATTCATTACAGTATCCAAGAAGCCTTGTTTAGAGAGTGACTTGAACAACTCTAGCAAACAGTCACTTGCCAAACCCCTGCCTTACATTTTTCCCTTTAATCAGCTCAGTGCATTCTACTTTCTTTTTGTTTATTCGTTTGAAACAGGCAAAACATTCTAAATCTCTTAAACACTTTCATTACAATAAAAAGAGCTAACGAATTTACAAAATTAGTTTTAGTTACATCAATACATGTACAAGAAAAATTAGAGAAGGGATTCAAAAGAAAAGCATTAAATCCCTGAAAAAAACCCCAAAACAAAACAAAAAACCAAAGAATAATATATTTAACCTACAACAGCTTTACATACACACAGGTGACACGTTGGCATAGGAGAACATGAGCTGAAATATCCCTGAATTTTTAGAACCAAAAAAAAAAAAAAAAGTTGAAGTTCAAGTTATACTTGCTAAAATGTCAAGTATTGAGAGAGTTTTTTTGTTTTGTTTTTTTTTTTGTTTGTTTTTTTCAAAGGCTATTGGGGAAAATGATGGTATACAATATATAAACTTTCACACTCAGTTCCATATCCTATTGCCAAACTAGTGTTGAGGTATATGACAAGTAGGAACATCACTCAAACCTTTTAATGTATTTTTAGCTCACATTATGATATATTTGTAGCAGGCTGAGTAGCACCATGATGTGAATTCAGCTCAAAACCCAAATATATATAGATTTAATATTTTTACAGTACTAAAATACTAAAGCATTGCGTTAAAAAAAGTTTTGTTTACAATTTAATTTACTATACAACTCTCCTGCTTTTCTTTTTAATAGAAATTAATGATTTAAAACCACCACAGCAAGCCAGCTGCCTATTCTTTTTTTTCTATTTAATCAACGGAATCACACAGAACTAACCCTGTTTCATTCATCTTGTGTAGGCATCGGTCTGCTTAATCTTCCTGGAAAAGAGGACACTTGCACCGAGAAATGACTTACACCACAATGTACGTAATTGTCAACACAAAAGCAATCTGCCATTCAATATTTGAAGAGCGTACAGATCTTGAAAAACAGCAGAAGCCCAAGCTAACTAGTTGTAGTCTGTCGCATGCTGCTAATTATTACCTGTGGTTAATATAAAATTCTTTCCTTAAAACTGTACATATTTGAGCAATGAACTTGTCATAGTAATTGTAGAAAACAGTTTACAGTATAGCTGTGTGAGATGAGCACCAGAAAAACATGTGTTTTGTGTACTAAAGTATTCCCTTATATCCAGTAAGCCCCATTTTTACCATAACTGACTGTATTAAAAATGGATATGTAGCCCACTAGCAGATGCACGGCTAAAACAAAAGTATTTAAAAGCTTTTTTTAGTTTAAAAAAATTATCTTTGCATTTTAAAATCAAAGTAAACTCTTTTTTTTTTTTTAATGTCTTAGTACCTTAGCATTGTTCAAGTTGCCAAGCTTAGGTAGACAAAGTGCTTTTGAAACACTATTTAAAAAAAAATATTTCTATATTTTATTGTCCTTTTCTAGGACTTGACTGGATGAGCAAAATCCAGAGGTCTTTGTACTTCCCATATGTTAAAAAGTAAGCTTATTTTAACACCAGGTAAATTCAATACATACATGAATGAAAAGGTCCTCCCTGTTGTTGAAGAACATTTGACTACATCATCGACATTTTGTTATAAAGGCATTAACTGTTCGACTGTTAAAATAAAGACACCATTCTCTTAGATAGCACCATGGTTTTAGAATATCCAAACAAATTCAGTGTTTTGCTGTCTATTCATTATCTTTTATACTTATCTACTTTGTTAAATAAAATCAAGAGACTAATAAGATTACAGTAAAAACTGCATGTTAAAAAGCCATAATTCCAGTATTTCAGTACATCATAGATTCAGCACCAGATGTTATTTTAAGATTCCTGCAGTTGTAATACTACAGTATTATTTTTTTTAGGGTTTTTTTTGCTCCTGTTCCATGACTATGCAAACTTGATGACATTAAAAGTGGCCACAGATGTGCAAAACTGTAAGAAAAAAAAAAAATCCATTTGCAGATTATCTCTTTCAGTAATGGAGCCAGTGTTTTCAAATGTAAATTGTGAAACACTTTTTTGTTTTGTTTTTGTTTTTGCATAGGATGCTTTGGTCTTGTTTCCTACGTGCCATCTGTGACCACTTAAAAATCAGTGGAAAATAAGTGCGCTAGTGAGATTACCTCTTTTTGCTGGTGTGCTGAGGCTTTTTCCACTGACGAGTTTTGTAAAAACACTGTTTTCTTCTCCACCCTTGCCTTCCCCAAAACCTAAAGCAGAACTATCCTACTGATACGGTGTTTTTTCAAATGAGGTAACCAACAAAGGTGTGAAGTTAGATATATCGGTTGTAAGGCCCTGTAACCCGTGTAAAGGCATATGGAGATGTAGTTACTGTGGAGTCTGTGGTGACCGACAGTGTCCTTTGTGCAAGAGACTTGATGAAGCGCACATACGTTGGCTCCGAGGGTTCGTGTGGCTCAGCAGGCTCCCGCTTTGCTTTTTTGCCATAGGATTTCTGAGGCACGTAGTCTGGACCATACTTTTCACATTCCTCCTCTTTCTCTCTTGCCTTCTCAGCCATCTTTGCTTCCCACAGAGCCAGACCATGTTTTGGCTCATTCATACTCTTGTGCTGGTAAAAGACAAGGGATATTCTGGTGGGATGGTTCCTGTTGGGATTTTTTAAGGGGGTCGTTGCGTGGAGCTCACGTTTTGCACACTCTATGAGAATTGACCCATGAGATGGAGCAACTGCCACTCCTCCAATTTCTGGATCCAGAAAGCTCTGCTCACTATCTGACCAGACTTCATCGGGATCCTCTGCTTTTTCTGGATTCAGCACATCAGTTTTATCTAAACCACCCTGGGGAGTAGTCCTATCATGGTTTTGACCTGGAAGCATGTTGGACAAACCATTAACTGCATGTGAAATCATTTCGCTATCCTTATTTTGCAGATGCAGTGAATTAGGAGGACCACTAAACATGCTTGGAGCAGAATGGTAGTCATGTGCTAAATGCGGAGGGGGTTGCATATGATTATGTTCACTGGTTTTACTCATGGAGGCATAATCCATGCTCGGATTACTCAGATTAGATTTTAACCTTGAGGCAACCTCCATAAAATGGCCGTCAGCCTCATGGGTGGAATAAGAGGAAAAAGAACCTACGTGGTGTACATTTGGTCTAATGGTGCAATTACTGAAGGAATCTACCTGCATATTTTGGTTTCCATAATTCAAGTACTTGGGACCAAAACTCTGGTTATTCCCAAACCTCTGCTGGTATAATGTTTGAATGGGCGGTAGACTTAGTTTAGACATATGGTCTTGGCTCTGGCAACTATACAAGTCCATGTGCTGATGCTGGGAAGGGTAGGAGCCCAAGTAAGAGGGGCAGTTGTCCATAGGTACGTTTCCATTGCATTGGTAGGGTGGATATTGGTTATGTTGACTTAATGATCCTGAATAAGGGTTGATGGGACTGGAAGAATTCAAATAAGACCCCGCAGGCTGTGATGAGGTTGTATAGAGGTTCATGGGACTGGACCCTCCATAGGGATCTGAAGTGTATGAAGAGCTTGGATAAGCATTGGCTGGAGTAGGCAACCTTACATAGAGATTTGCAGAACCTGAACCCGAGTAAGAGTTAATAGGATTTGACTGAGGGTTGTTAGGGAGAGTGCGCGGTGAATGTTGCTGCTGCTGTTGTTGTGTGGCTGGTCCTGAAAGGCGTAAAAGATCTGTAGATGTGAAAAGAAAAAAAACAAACACAACAAACAAGCTTTTTTTTAAAAAAAAACCCTGCCAACAAACCACATACTTTATAGACTTTTCATGATACGTATCTACAAAATTTCTAAGAAAAGTATATCATATGATAAGTTAACAGAAGTTCCCTTTCTCGTATCTCAAATACCATCATCCTTTAAGAAGATGAATAAATACTAAGGCTACTCATCCTTTTTGGCATGCATCCAGTGAGATCAGATGCTAGTGGCAATGGGGAAAAAGAGGACAGTGCAATCTCTTCAGTCACATGCACAAAATCCAGAGAACTGAATCATCATTTAAGTAGCCCACGAAACGGAGCATCAAAGTGCTCCCAAATGGCCATCCACAACGTGACCTTCTTTTCCCCAAGAATAAATCATTCTTCTCATCTATATTAATAGAAGTGTCTCAAAAAAATGTCCCTAGCTTTATGTGAAAAACCAACGGTGACATTCACTGATAGAGAGAACAGCTCAGTAACAAGTGAGATTAACTGAAGACGTAAGAGCAAAAACATCATTCATTAAAGTGAAATGGCATCATTTAATGGTTACAATCCTAGCCTGGGTCATGGGACAGCTGACTTCTATTTATAGGTATATCAGTGACCTTCTTGGTGGCCTGGGATGTATCAATTTTTTCCTCTCTGAAAAAGCTGCTGTAACAATAAAATAGTCATGATGAAGTCCTTTGCTCAGGACTCTCACATCAACTGATGAAAACTGCCAGGGATTGTTAAGTGTTTTTTTTTTTTTTAAACTATCACTCCACTATGGAAAAACCTGTTCTGCTTTTGGTCTTGAAGCAGAGAGTATAAATAGTGGTAAAGAGGTTAGGCTTGAATCCCCTCAAATTAGGAGGTTCTCTGTAGCAGTGGCAGACAGTGAGTGACGTGTAGGTCATTCTTTCTCTGGCAGCAGCATTGCGCACTTCTCTTCATGGCTTCTAGCACTACTAACTAGTTTTAAAGGTACTTTACAATATGCTGGATGGCAAGCAGAGTTTGCAAAAGCACCAGATTTCTACAGGTGTTAACTATCCAACAGTAAAGAATTTCTCATACAACTTCTTTTTTTGGCTTCTCCAGAGTTGACCACAATTTGACACTCTAGTATTTATAAATATACAATATTGATATTTACTTTTAAGAATTCTCTTTCCTTTTTACTTTAAAATGTTCCTGGGCTGAGAATAATAATTTTCTTGAGACCCATTATAAATGGCCCTGATTTCTAGAAAGCTTACCACTGCTGGTAAAGATCCCGGTCAGATTCCTGTGTTTACCTGCTAGCTGCTTTGCATGACCTGCCGCCTCAGAGTTGCCTTGCTTGTTGCGTGCTGCAGCCGACTTCTCTCTTTCAGCTTTGCTAGGCCCACTCTCCAAGGAGGAAAGCTTTTCTGCAGCTGCTTTCTTTGCTTCTAGCTTCCTTTGCCGACACGTCTTAACAGGCTCTGCTAACATCCTTACTTTTCGGCGAAAGGAGGTAAGGACCTGGATGCTGCCATTCCTCTTCTTCTCCTCCTGGCCTTCAGTGCTTCCAAACTCATCCACATCAGAGACTTTATATAACGGGAGCACGTGGAGCTGCTCGTCTTCTGGTGTTTGGCCAATTTCACGATTGTCTTCTCTAGTTAGTGTGCAAACCTGTTGGAAAGGTGCGTTCAAGTAATTCTCAAACCAGTCTGAGAAGAAGAGATCTGAAATAGTAGTCTGTGCATTTTACCTTGCCCTGCCACTGTCGGTGTTGGCATCTGGCAAGCTATTTGTAAGCTGTAAGTTTCTGTGCAATTTATGCATATCACAGCAAGCTTGCGATTTCTTTTCTTCCATTGCTCTGTTGGACAGTGTTAATACAAACAGAAGGTATATATATCTCTTTCTGGTACTTGTGTTGAAATGAACAGTACAGTTAGGGATTACCCTAACCTGAAACAAACTGGGTGATCCATTGTACCGTGGTCAGAGAGCTACAACAGTGGAACCTGGGACTTTGTACTCACCTGAAGATTTTTTTCACTATAATGCATTAGCTAGCTACCTATTAGAAACAGTATGCAATATACCATACTGCCACTGTATTTCACATTGCCTTACAATGGCAACTGCCAGGACTCTGCCAAGGAGCAAGTCACTGTAATGTTAGTAATAAGATTTAAGGAAGTTACTGTTGTGTCATGCAGTGCGCTCATTGTGTCAGCTCCAGCTAAAACAGGTATTGGGAGGATCTCAGTGGAAAAAAATGCTGATACAGACATACTCTGTAGCAAAATCATTGCATCGGCCAGTTTTAGGAAGTAAGCTCAGCTAGAAATATATATTGTATTGCTGGTGGTTGACTTGTCAATTAGGTCAGACCCTGGAAACAGGAAAAATTTAGTTGGTATTAAAAAAGTAGATATTCTTTTTGGTCGTAAGAAGAGCTGCACTGTGAACCTGGATAGTTGGTTCAAACTGCAACCATGATGATTACTCAAAACTGAAGATTATTCTTTCTCATTTGTCATTTACCCCAACTGTACTGTCACAGAGAGAGTAGGCAGGAAACAGAAATAATCCAATACATATTGGAAAGCAGCTCGCTGTTCTGGTATTTTCTACAGAATCTTTGCTGTACATGCTAGAGATCAGAACTGAAGGGAATAAAGGGTGCATGTACAATACAAGGGATAGCATCCACAGCTTCCAAAACTGGCCTAGAAAGAAGTCATTTGTTTCCATTTTTATTTTATTAGGAGATATAATCCAAAATTGTTAGAAAAAATGGTGTTTCAGGAGGACAAATATAAACCATTTTGTGCCAGGAACACTGACACAGGCATTTCAGCCCTGCTGGGACCTTTCTTCCATTGTCTCCACAGTTTCTTTTTCACCAGTTCTATATTAAAGCTCTCTTTGATACACCGTAAGTCTCATTCATTTGAATGAAAAATTGTGTAGGGGGTAATAAGTTAGCTCAATTACTGCTGAATGTTTCTTTTTTGAGCAATCTGCATTACGCAAGTATAAATTTAAACAGATGGCAGATAATGAATTAAATATATGAAATTAGTGCTGGGGTAAGGAGGCTATATGCATCACAGACTTACCAGTGTACTCCCATTCTGCATATTGTGCAAGTCTCTGTGAGCATGAGCGCAAAAATCCAGGCAGGCAGTGACCCCTGAGAATGGGCGACCTTCTTTTAAACCCAGGCGACACTCGGGTGCTCTGTGTTCATACTCGATCTGGAAAGAGATGACAGGTATCACTGCAACCGAGCTGGATGCTCCAGTACACGGGATCAGCACTGAATGCTCTGCCGTGACAACATGCAAGTCTCCTGACATCTCGGAGGTGGCAACATACAAATCCTGAAGGCAAATAAAATCAAGTAATTTGATGGCAATTTTGTCTCCGTATTTCATTCCTTGCTGCTTTGTTCCCTGTAACCTTCTGGCTCTGGCGTGATTGTGAAACTGGCCAATAATGCTTTTCCTTGCATATTACTTTTGGTTCTCTGCCAGTGGTTGGTGTTTTTACAGGACAAGTGCAGTGCGTGGTCTCAGCATCCGGCACTGTAAGAGTGACATGTTTGTGTAGACTGGAAATATACCAAGCTATTAAGGGAAAATGGCTTTAGAAAACTGACTTCAGAATGACTTCATGAAAAATAATAATTTGCTTTTTGATTTGTAATATTTTGGCGTGCTAAACATGTATTTCATTAGCTTAAGTACAACTCTAACCCCTGACAAAAAAGAGAGATAATTCAGTCAAGACTTTCTACCCATGCACTCATGATTAAGGAGCTTTACAAAGAGCTGATAATGCAACATAAACCTTACACATAAAGAAAGGATTTTGTAATGGAAGATCAAGCCTTAGGCAAATGACAGTTTCATATTTTATTTAGGAAATTAAAAATGAAACCACATTTGTAAAATGCTTTGCTGAAATTCCTGAACCTTTCAAGTGAATGCAAAAAAATCTACACTTAATGGAACTTAATGGATCCCATTTTCAGCTAAGGTGAAATTAGAAGTTTTGCCATGTCTTGATCCAAGATCACTAAAAAGATGTCTAGTGTGCTCACAGACCTTTATTTTAAAAAAAAGAGGGAATATTTCCTTCCCATGAATCTGAAAATAAATGCAGAACAAAATCTGAAACGTGTAAACTTCTTTGGAATCAAACGAGAGGGGTCTGAAACGTTAGCCAGACTAGAATTGCCTGACTAAAGCATCTCGGAGATGATCTGTTGGATCCAGCTGGAAAAACAGACCCTTTCCAATTCTAGATTTTAATCCAAATCAGGCCTCGATCATCTCTCTTTAAAGCCACTGACAGTAGCTTGATGAGGGTTTTCCCACAAATACAAGGTCTGCATGAAAATGCTGAAACAGGCCAAGCTACACAGACGCCTTGTTACACAAGGTAAAAACTGAAACTTGTAAAAGTCTGTATTTTCAACAAGTGTTGGACAGGACCACAGCTTACATGGAGAAAAGTTCTTTTGTGAATTTTTGTGGGAAAACAAAAGCAGCCCAAGCAAGGAACCATTTTATTGTTCCCCACCCCCTCATTTTTTATTTTTCCTCTTCCTTTCTTCTCTTGCAGATTTCTCTCAGATGTTTGGACAGACCACAGCTAGTGGGCACATGGCCACAGTTTCCTCCATAACGAGTGTCCAAACTTTATCTGATCAGGTAAGTGAAACTGGGTACGCCCGTACTAAATATGCAGCAAAGGAGTAAGTTTTATGGCAAATAAAAATGGACAGTTTTGTGTCAGTTTATTGTTTCCATTACAGTTGAAAATCTGTCTTGTGCTGGTTGCTACAGCATAATGCTGTCAACAGGAAAGAAAGATGTCACAGTCTGCAGTGATGCTGATAGTTTGCAGACTAGAAGTTCTGTGAATGTAATGGTAGTGAACGTGAGCAACGAAAACAAAGGCGAACAGTTATGCATTTGCAAGGGGTATGTGGTCAAATTTTGATGCAAATATCTGAAAGACACTTGGTAAAGGAATGCAGGTGAAAGTCAGCCACACTGGGAACTTTACAAAAACTTTGAATGTGCTAGTAGCTGCGAACACAATCCCCTCATGCAAGAAGGCTGGTGCAGGCACTTGTGTGCATATGCAGGACTGAGTGTGTTCAAATACGAAACTTTGCTTTGAAAGCATATTTGTAATGGTTATTTTGGTGAAAACTAAAGTCGTCTGCCACTTGAGAAAGCAGAACTGAACCTGTGGCTTCAGGACTTCAGTGCAATATGATACGCTGCCTGCTGGCGCTGTTGCCAATCTCACACCATCTTCATGGCTGTTTGGATTGTGAATCGTGCTAAATCCAGAAATTTATATTGTCGAGCTAGAGACTTCTGCTCAAGTGTAAAGTTATTTTATTGTGTTGATGTAGGTGAAAAGATTCATTCTATTTCGTGGGCCAAATTCTGCTAGTTGAAAGCATTTTAAGTGGAATTATTTGTTTCCATTTGTCTTTACCCCAGTGTCAAAGGAATGCTGGCACAAAATGTACATAATGGTTTGGCATAAGGTTGAAACATTGGGAAGTGTGGTAAAAATCAGGTTAGTTGCTTGACTGCTCGAATTCCTTTTTTCCCCAGCATACCTGGTTGTTATATGCATCAGGTGCAAGCTTCTTGTAGGTAGGTGCCATCAGGGTTGACAGATTCTGCAAATTAGATTCTAGTTTTTCTTCCTGTTAGGAAATGAAATACAGTTCAGTAACATTTCCATACTGCATGTATGGGATCTAAGAAGTTAGGGTCTTTACACAATTATGTTTACGCTGATAGTTGTTTAAAGGCCGAGACCGTTAATCAATCTTGTTTAGACCATAACAGTTGTGAATCTCCTTTTCATTTTAATGTTTCACAGCCTTTAAAGTAATGAAGTAGCAAAGTAATGTAGTGTGATCCTTGCAAAAGGACATAGAATCATAGAATTATTAAGGCTGCAAAAGACCTCCAAGATCATCATGTTCTTCAATATGGAGATGTTTTAGATCCAAGTGTGATGATCCTCACTACTTTCTGGAGTTTTGGGAAAACAATACTCTTCAGAAAACTTGAGAGAAATAATATCACAATGGTCTATCAAGTAAATCTGCCTAATTTAAGGGGTTTGCACATTGTAGAGACAGCACTTCAACACACTGAAGTATCTTTCATGCAGCAATTTAAAATTATTTAAATACTTCAGACTTTAAGAAGTTCCCAGTTCTTAAGCAATGAAGAATTGTGGACGTGTCTAGTATTTGGTGATATGGGGGTAGGAATGACCACACTTTTTTTCTACAAGGAGGGATACACACTCTCAAAATGAAGGGCTCTAAAAATGAAGTACTCTAACAACATACTCCAAAGTTGTTCCCCATCCTCTCAGGATGAGAATCCCAAATTCAAAACCGTGCGTATATGAGATCCTTATTTTTAATTTCAAGTGCATAAAGAACAGTGGCATACTGGAGTGGTATACTTGTTTTTAGGTGCTTGTATATGTTAGGAATGTGTGAAGAGCTGTGAGAAACCTATGGGTTTGAGAGAGACGTGTTTGCTGCATTAGAAGTTTGTATCTCCTACTACGGGACTATATCCTAGTTTGGGACTCCAAAATGACATTATGAAATTGTGAAATGTATCTTGCTATGGCCTTGTGGCTGCTGCCAGAACTTGGAGCTTTTGTATGGCCCATAGGTTGCCATTTGTAAGTGTTACTTCTAGTTTTTATTGGTGGGGATCCTATTGGTATGTCTATAAACTGTGTCTATGCTATGTGACCCAGCCCCTGGTCTGGACGCATGCTTTGGGTACCCCGACTTTGTGTGGGAACAAGACTGGAGGGTAACACCGTCTTCCCTGCCCAGCTCTGGCTTCCATGGGAAGCAAATCCAGGAATGCAAGTTAGAAGAGTGCCTCGGTGGGCTCTGGCCAGGTATCCAGCTTGGAAAATTTGGGGGGTTTAGGATTGCAGGCTATGATAAAGAAGGCTCTGTGCCACAGCATGATTGAAGGACAGCTATTCTGTAATTCTTGGAGCCATAGGAGAGCAGTTGGGAGTTATTAGGCAGTATGTTAATTATGATGATATTCTAAATAGTGTGCTTTTCTCAGTGCAGGCCATAAGATGCAGAAGTACTTGGCGCTCTGATCATGTGAAAGAAATGCTTAGACTGGTGTAAGACACCAGAATATAGTGAAAGCTGTGGACCCATGCATCAGTACACAAGCAAGGAACAAAATTTGTGTGTGCTTGCCAAAAAACAGACTGGGCCATTGGAGCCTCCCAAACACATGACTAGCTGGAGGTGTCCAGGAGTCGCTGCAGTCATAACTTCAGAGGTATCCTGCGCCCAGGCTAAGGTCAATTTTTTTCTCTAACTTGTTTTAAATAGTTACCAGTTTGCTGTAACATAGAGCCCAGTCTTGAAACATTCAGCGGGACAGGACTGTATGTAGAATGAGTCTTCCTATCCTCCTCTTCGTATTGTCATCTCAGAGTTTCATCATGTTTGTCTCCATGCAGCGAACTCTGGTTCCCAGTTGCAATGTTATGTGCCTTCAGTTGGTAAACCTTCTGCTCTGCCACTGGGGAATGCCCAGTTGCAGGCCTAATACGGCCACAATTATTCAGGCCATGCCCTCTCCTCTAATTGTGAAAGCCTGCAAACATGGTTTTAAGTCTCAGGGCTTTCACCAGCTGTCAGAATTTGGACAGTCAATTCAGCTGGCTCATTGACTGGAATCAATCAGTTTTGACTGGCAGTTATTTAATTACCCTACATGTATGCCTTTCAGGCAGGGCTCTGGCCCCTGGTCTCTTGTACTGTATCTCTATTTGCAGCATGACAGAAAACATTTCCTTGCAAATGAGGCTCATTTTAGAAGTGGACACCAACCTCTTTTGGGTCATCCCCCATCAGCTTAAACTTTCTTGGAATCTTGCTTCTGGCAAACTTACAACCATTGTAGTACATGCTCCAGGAGCAACCAAAGGAAAATGAAGCACCACAAGTTTCAGGGTCCAGCCCTTGACATGCACAAGTCCGCCTAAAAAATAAGAGAATATGGCTGTTAGCAGCAGGTGGGTCACCCCGGGGCACTCCTGCATTGGGCATTGGTGTTCTGCCAGTGCTCTGGGGAATCACTGGTCTTGGATAGTCTTCCATTAGTAGATAATGAAGAAATGTAAGAGGGAGGCATATGCATCATAACAGAACAATTTATCAGAGTGAGTAATTTCAAGGTTGCAAAGCAAGGACTATGGGGTTTCTATGCTTCTGTGAGAAACCTGGCTTTGCTCAAAAGAGGGTATGCTTGCACAGCGCCTTGTTAGGTAGCAGTATTCATGGTACCTGAAAGGGCCACATGTTCACGGCACTGCAAGAACATGGGAGCCCTCTCACAGGGCCTAAGCAATAATTCCTAAAATACAAGTCCTCCCATGAAACCAAAGTAACATACAGTGATAGCTATGCTAATTTTAGTCTAAATGTTCTTCGCTATCAGAAAGACACAGGAAAACAACATAGTTCAATTTCTTTAGATTCAGGCTAGCTTCTATAGGCTTACAGTATGATTTAGTGCATCGAGTTTTTATTTCAAGGTTGAGGTATCGGTTGTTCTGGGCCCTGCTGAGATCCCTTCCTTTAAATATACTGAGATGCTTCACAGCTCTGGGAAGATGTTTTTCCCTGATTTATGGGAATGCTTACTTCAGTTTTCTCACAAGGTTTGTGGGTTTTCAAACTGCCTGAAACTGTTGGAAAGGTTATGCGTGTTTCAGGGTAACAGCATGCCTGGAGCTGCCAGGTCCGAGGCTGAAGGTGGGGTTGCAAGTTTGGCGAGCATACCCTTTGTTTCACTTACTCTTCGTTCAGGGCGCACCGCCGGTTCGTGAGCGTGCCGTACTTCCTCAGGGTGTCGGTGAGCTCGGAGTAGAGCTTGTCGGCCAGGCTTGTTGGGATTCCCTCCCAGACCAGGATGAGAATCACGATCACAGCTGTCTCACACGTGTGGCCCGCTCGCTCACGCACCAAGCAGAGTAGCTTTTCCTCCTGACTGCTTCTGCGGACTACCTGCATGCACAGCAACACACACCCCCAGAGCCCCAGGACAAACAATGCATTTCTTAGTGAGAAGAGCAAGAGAATAGGAAACCTCAGCATTAGTGCACGTGGAGAGGTTACTTCTACTTCTGTCTTCCTCTGTTTCTGGCAACTCGGCCTATTGTTCTCATTTAGTGATACGGGCCAGGGCTACCCCTTCTGTTTACTGAAGCTGACTCTAAGAGGCTAAACTTGACTGATGGCATGGAAAGCCATAGTGGTGGCCCAGTCTGCTTAGTGGGCAGAAGGAAGTGAGCAGTGAGATGCCTCCCTGCACAGGGGTGGATGGTGGACACCTCGCTTAGGACAGGAGCTGTGCGGGGAAAGGAAGGGACTAAATGTCTAGACATGGGGGCTCTCTCCCTTTCCCTCCCAAACTTAAGCAGCTAAACTTGTAATTAGCCACTCAGTTTCATGACCTGCCCTCAGTATGTACAAACATTACAGTGAGGAGAGGAAAGCAGCAGATGTTGTTCAAATAAGAGTGTCCTTGCTTCTCAGTGCTTGTACTACTGTGGGTATTTCCAAAAAACAAAAGGTGCAGTCTGGCATGCATAAAGACTATAATCATGTATCAGTTTTTCCTCATCCTGCCTTTCCCCAGCCTATCCAAATCACTCTGTAACTTGTGCCAAAGTACGACAGTGTTTGCTAAGAGGGTGTCCTAATGCCTCTCTCAAACTGGGAGCACATTTTAAAAACATCACAGTGGTGCACTTACTGGACTTATTTGTAAACTAGAAGTAAAAAGCAATGAGAATGTCTGGTGGTGTGAATCTTCAATCTAAGTGAAACTGCCTTCCTTCTCAGGTTTTCATACCTTTAAGCCAAATTTTATTCTTGCTGTTCTCCATGCAACAAGTAAATGGAGTGAGAGACACAGGGAGGGGAGCAGGCTACAGGCATCCTGTGGCACTGCTGCCGTTGAGCTATTTTAAGTTTCCTAGTGTCAACTAACAGAAGGACGTCATTGCTGTCTGCTTACATGAACCATTATACTGAACTAGATTAGTCTTAACATTTGTGTACGTCACTTACCCATTTAGCAATTGGACATCCTTGCGAGCTTTTGCCTTCTTTCCCAGTGTAGACAACCCTCTCAATCCTTATAGCTTTACCCTTCTGTCCAAATCTTAAACAAACAAAAATATGTACAATAAGCAGACTCATTTGATTCTGCATAGAATGATGAAAAGATGGAGCGCATTTGCTGGTCTTATCTTAAAAAATAAACACTATGAATTAGTGGGAGGGATGTGCAATTGCTGATTTTATTATAGTGGTGGATTGATACGTTAAGGTAGGCAAATGTCTTTAATACATTTTCCATATCACATTAATATTCCCAAACCTTTTAACTATTTCTGTAGAGAATTTGTTATAGATGACGTTTTGAAAAGTGGACTTGGAGTTTCTCTATTTTGGGGAGGAATTTTAAATTTTTCTTTAATTTCTGGGTTAAACTTGAAGTTATTACTCTGAAACGTATATAATTAAGCTGTCACGGAACAGCTGGCATGCAGTAGTGACTCTACCCCTTTTCTGTGCTTGTTTATGGCTTAGATACAGCATGAATAAGTCATGATTAATTTGCATCATATCTATTTCCTTTATCATTCGCTCATAAATTTTTACTTATTTACTTCTGCCTGACTTCTATACTGAGCGAGGATCCCAAGATGCCCTCAGATGATGCCATTTGTGTGTGTCTTTTTGCGACAGAGGCAGGCAAGGTCAGCTCTAGCTGATGCATTTAATTGAGGTGATGATGCCATCAAGGCAGAATCTAGCCCCACATGCAAGCAGTGCTGTTACCCAGAGCAATTGGGATCCAGCTTCCACATCCTCTGATGGACCAGGTGGAAATAAATGGCAAATGCTAAGTGAGGGAAATCTTGAACCCATAAAAAGCATCAGACCAGTAAAGCCATTTCCAGGTTCGTTCCCTGGCCAGGCCTCTCCCCAGGCTGCTGCAGCTGGAGGGTGCCCACCTGCCGAGCCCTGGAGCACACCAGCTCTCAGGTGAGGCCATGCGTTGGAAACCTCAGGGTCTGCAACCTTACACATCCAGCCACCACGCTGACTCAGCTACATTTTGGGGACTGGGCAAAGTGCACTTCCATCACTGTTTCTTGAAATCTGCTGCTCTCATTGGGATTACCTTTTTTTTTTTTTTTTTTTTTTTTTTTTTTGAATAACCAGTGTGGGGAGTAAATCACAATCTCCTTGTTCTTTGCCTGTTACCTATAGAGCAATCAAGATAGTTCCTTCCTGTTATGCAGCCATTTAATGATGCCTTGAGAACTTTTGACCTTTCATCCCGCTTGTTTTTGCACTAAAATCTTGGTGACATATTTAAGAGCAAATATTTGTATTTAAACTTCTGTCCTGTAGAGGAAATGAAAAACGCTTATTTTTGGATGTGATCTCATTGTGAAATTTCAGTGTCACAGGAAATTATACAAATAAAATCAAGTTGTACTACATATGTTCTGCAGGCAACTATTAAGTCACTTTTTCCCACTTAGGCTTGGATGTTAGTATACTTTTGTTTCTTTAATTAACCACATTAAAAAAACATTTTTAAATCTTAACATCTTCTACCAATTTGCTAATCTGGATTGCAGGACAACTGTGTGGATGCCGCTATAAAAATATGTTGTACATTACACACTGGAAATGAAATGGGCTTTGTCTCAAATCTTTTCAACTGTCACAAAGGAATTTGTGCGTGATGTTTGTCATGCTTGCTTTCAGGCCAAAGCTGATTTGCTTTAAAACTGGAGCAAAACTCACAGAGCATGAAGTAGGGACTGGGAGAAGTAAGAGGTAAAATGTATGTATCCATCCTGGATTCCGCAAGAAATTTGTCCTGGTATAGCTAAAATATTAACTACAAGTCTAAATCCAAATCCTGGTTTGTTTGGCAGTGCTGATATCTTGAAAGTCAATCTGTATCAATGGGAAGCCAGTTTAAAAGTGCTTCAGTTGTGATTAGTGTCACCAACTGCACACATGCGTTTGAGAATGTCTTTATAGGTAAATGCTTTTTTTACTTAGGGATACAAAATTAACTAATGAGGAGGAGTTCTAGAGTTCTTCAGTCAGGGTCATACCATATGAACAGCTGGAAACTAGTCATTG